TATACAGTTGGTATCATGCAATTAACTGCACACTTTTTAAGAAAACATCCTCCTCTCATAAGGAGGAAGTGGTTTGTTTCTACCACACAACTGAGCAGGTCCAATAAATCCCTATACTTAAGGGGATGGTCGGAGCAACTTTCATTATAAGCACCAGCTCACAGTATAGTTATTTTACTGCTGGTACAATCTATTAGCCAGTCGAATGACCACTGTTCTTGCATAGGCAGTCACAATCTGTTCCAAGGCCTCAGCCAATACTATTTAAGTCATTTAAGCCCTTTACCAATTTATCATGGAACACCGCTGAAACTGACCAAGAACTTTAACAGAACTATGCCAGCGATTGATGTGCATCACAGGGAGCACATTCCCGTTAAGCAATTATTAAAAAAGATCATTAAATAAATAGTGTACTTCCTTTATATTTGTTATACACTTGGCTAATAGATGAAGCGACAATTGTCAACTGTGTGACAGGATATTTTATGTACTTTAAAACACTTCATCCCTGAAAAATGCCTGCAGTTTGCTTAGATTATCTGCATATGAAAAAATAGCTTTTAAACAACGAACAGAAAACAAGCTCAATTTAAAGTTTCAAAAAGTGTCAAGTGAATTTAGAATGCCTTCATTGTTTCAACCAAACCTTGAATGTTCTAAGTACCGAACATATAATTCCAAGCGATAGTTTTTACTTTAACCTCCATTTAATTTTGAATCTCTTTGCCACCATTACCCACCCAATGTGATTCTCCTACACAGGGATTAATCATTTGTACTTAGCACCTTCTTTTAACCAGAAGCCTGAAACATCCACAGAAAGTATTGGAGAAACTCAGCACATCTGGCTGCACCCGTAGAGTGAAAAACAGTTCACACTGAATCCACTGACCCCACATCAGCATCTAGACGTAGAACGTGAACTGTTTCTCTCTACAGTTACTGCCAGACTGGAGTTTTTCCAGCATTTTCGGTTTTCGTTTCACATTTCCAGCATGAGGTTTTGTTTCATTTTAGCCTGAAACATCAGTGTTACTCTACAATCTTCCAGCAGGAACAGAGTCTTACCAATACAACATAGTTGTGTGACATCAGTTAATCCTAACCATCAAACCTAAATTCAACATTACAGAATCATACGGCATGCCATCTGGTGGTTTCAACGCAAACATCAAATTTTCTCCAAACCATAGCTGAGTGGATCGAATAACCAGACAGTTATGAGTTCTGCCTGCTTTGGAAGATATGGGTCAACCATCACAAATTTGTGATTTTAAACATGTCTGCGTTGACAGAATGAGATTAAATGGTATTTTCTTCCTCCTTTTTACAAGGCCATGTGTGACCTAGATTTGACTGGATTAGAAAAATTAAAAATCAGTTTCTGAAAATACATATATTTGTAAAATTTCATTGATAAATATGGATTAAAATTTCTTGACTGAGCTTCTACACAAACTGGCTTTTAGTGTAATTATGCTAGAATTTGTTAGCTAGATACGTATTTGCTATAACAAATTTTAACTTTAAAGGCAGTCATTTACAAGTTTAAAAGCTGAGGAAAAGCATTCAAGCCAGCCATTTAAGAGAAGAAAGTAAGATCAATGGTAAGTGGGGTGCACAATTTCTCATTTCCCCGAAATCACTGCAGACAGGCACTGTGTCCAGAACTTCCACATCCTTGGAGATACTGAATTAAAAAGCAAGTGTGCGAGGTGCAGACATTGTTCTTGAGATCGCCAATATTGGTCTTCGTGGATTGGGATAACCCTCCTTCATGACTAAGTTTATTTCCTTCTCTAAAGAAAGGAATAACTTGAAAACTGGTCATAGACACACATGAAATTCAAATAAAAATAAACAATTGTAGCATCATTGATGGAAGCAGAGAACAAAAGCAGAAAGTGCATTTTTTCAGAACACTATTTGGCACCTTGATGTGCAGAGAGCAGGATTTGTAGCAGATGCAATATTTCAATATTAATTTGGTATCATATAGGCCTTGTATGCCATGCAGCAAGTACGATATAAATAAGGCAGCACAAACAGAGGGAATTGTTAGGTCATGCTAATTACATTAACATTATGGAAAGGACAGGGAATTTTACACGTACATGCACATCAGGCCATCTTTAAAACATCATTCGCCATACCAATAATCGTACAGTTATTTCACTGCAACACCAGTAAAGTCCCAATGACAGTTATTCTGTGGTTAGATCATTAGCATACTATCAAGTATAGAATTGGAGCTGTTTGAAAGGCAAGAATGCCTTGAGGAAACAGGCTGCTTAGCCAACCTTGCTCATTGAGTGGTACCAACATATTGGCACCTGCAGAGGGACAGTGAAGATTCCTCAGTTTTACAAGATTATTAATGCAGCAGGAAGCTCCAATTCTGGAAGAAATTTTGGACCGCAGACACAACGGCACCGTGCAGGATATGTAAACATTGAACTAATGCCAGATTACTTTCTTGGAATCACCTAAAGCAAGTATACCTATGGGGATGATGCTACCAAATGGGAGGGGGCAACCACCCACATAACTATCACCACTTCAGCAGACATGGAGGTGGGGTGTGGCAGGCTATTGAAATCATCATTTGCAGTTATACCTACAAACTTGGGATTCCTTCCTTTACAATTTTGCCTGCATTAATCTGCTGACCCTTCAGCCACATCTAAAAATAGGTCAAAAAGCATTTTTTAAAAACACTCCAAAAGCTTTCACCTCTCAGTGACACACATTTCATTGGTTATGTCCATTTCCAAGTTAACTTGCTTGTACTGTTTCACATTCCCACCATTAGCGCACACCCGACACATTGGCAAAACCTGTATTCAGTCATGTAACATGCTGACCACAAAATACAGCACCCAACAACTCACCCAATAACTATCCAACAACTGATTTCTGACAAACCCAGTCAATTGTTCAAACAATCACGCATATTAGCATATAAACGCTGCGTGGACTAGTTGAGCCTAATACCTGGCCTCTATTATACATTCCATAGAACCACAAAAACCAAAATACTAAATTGCATGTGTTGTTTTCATTTCTTCAACATTTAGCATTTTGCATCACTCAGTACTTGAATTCCACACAGCTATTGTTTCTTCATGGGAACATTTAAGAAAAAAAGAGACTTTCAAAGACATTGTCATCTGGTACCACTGAGTGGTCTTAAGGCACATGCAATTGGTCTGGTAACACTTTATTCTATTTACAATAATGTAATTTAGTAACATGATCTTGTACTGCTTTAATTACAATTTACCTGGCAAAAATAAATTTCAATAAAGCAAGCCATATTAGTTCCACAGAATTTCCCAGCATCATCTTTGCTACTGAAATGACAAATAAATAGGGTAAATTGTTATTTTGAGAATATCAATGTGCTTTAAGATGATGCAGAGTCACGTTTCAAATGATTATCTGGAATACTTCAAATGGAAATGGTTTGCTACGTTTAATTCTTATGATTCATTCATCAGAAACAATATTATGTACTCATCACTAGATGTTCTCCACATTCGCAATCCAGATTGCTTTGTTGACAAAATGGTCTGAATTAACTGTTCTTGGAACTTTCCAAAAATATACTCTGGAGATAAAGGTTGCAATGCCACAGTCCCTTTACTTATTCATTCACGTGATGTGGGCGTTGCTGCCCTAGGAGAAGGTTGCATTCTTGAACAGTTGCAATCTATTTTGACTGAGTAACACTAAAGGAATAGAAGTATATTTCCAAGTCAGGATAGTGAATGGTTGGGAGGAGAACTGGCAAGTGGTGGTGTTTGCTGCTTGTCCTTCTAGTTGGTAGTGGTTTTGCCTTTGAAAGCGTTGTATATGGATCTTTGGTGAATTTCTGCAGTACAAGATGCTGCTACCAAGTGTCAGTGGTGGAGCAAGTGTTTGTTCGCATGATGCCAAAACAGCAGACTGCTTTGTCCTGGATGGTGTCAAGCTTTTGACTTTTTCAAACTGCACTCATTCCATTAACACTTCTGATGTGCTTTGTAGATGGTGAAAAGGATTGGGAGAGTCAGGTGGTAAGTTAGTCACTGCAGGATTCCTAGCTTCTAACCTGTTCTTGTACCCACAACAATTACATGGCTAATCCTGTAGTTTCTTGTCAATGGTACCTTGCCAGGATGCTAGTAGTGGGGGTTTTCAAGATACTAATGCCATGGAATTAGAGGGACAGTCAAAATTCTGAGATAGCTATCCAGTTCAGAAGTTTCTGAAGAAGGGTCCCGGCCCAAAACGCCTGGCCTGCTGGGTTCCTCCACTGCCACATTTTTTTGTTATAGTCAGAATTCTCCCTTGTTGCAAATGGTCATTGACAAAACTGGATATTGTCCACGTCTTAATGCATTCGGGCATGGACTGCTTTAGCAGCTGAGGAGTAAGGGTGCAAGCACTGACACCATGGTTTCCAACCTCATAATGGAACGTGAAAATTCAGAAAAACATCTGACAAATCAAGTGTAGAATTAGTTTTGAAGGACCAGGAAGGTGTTTGCAGTACTTCGTACGCCTTGGGCTTTGAGACAGCAATGCCCAGATTTCTGCGTTAAAATGTACATGTGCAGTCTTCAGAATCTGCTACCACTATCACAAAATCTCAAAGGAATACATTAAATAACTTGAAAATTAACAGAGAGACCATACCTATATTATTAGCTGTGACTTAGTGGTAACATTCTTGCCACCCAGTCAATAATTATAGGTTTGAATCATGCTCCAAATATGGGAACATAAAATCCAGATTGTATCATCCATGCAAACAGGTCACCAACAGCAGTGACTATTCTTCGAAAAGGATTTTGAAAGGTCCAGGGTTATGACAACATAAATGCAAGTTCTTTATTGTATAACCAGTCTTGGCATCATTTTTGAGAGGCTTCAGTGATGCCTCCACAGGAGCATTCTTTTGTTTTCACGTTAGATAGTCTCTTGAAAATGGTTACCAACAGTTAAAAACGCACCTTAGACAGGACTGTAATAAAGTCCTTAAGCGTAGATAGCTCTGGTCCTTCCAATATCTTGTGACTAGCAAGTTCCACTCGTAGTATATAGTGCAAACCAGACTCCAGATCAGCCATATACACCTTATTCCTGAAAGCAAAGGTGAGCTTGAAACAAGTACATTTGAAATAAATGTCTATTATTTGTTTAATTGACAGTTATTTTTTATTATTAAGAAGGCTAGTAGCAGAAACTATATTTTTCCTTTTCTATCCCAAGCAGTTTTAAAGTTTCAAATGACAATTTCAATGTAAGAGTTTGTTTCAATGTGACAGATTAACGTCACAACATAAAAAGTGAAGATTTAATAACTTAAGTCTCCTGCAGTTTCAGGACGCTAACTACTAAAACTCTCCCTTATTTTATGACAACATGCAATCAATGGATCAAATGAGTTATTATTACTCTCCCAAAAGGAAACATTTTTTTCATCAGTGCAATCTTCGACAAATATGCTTTATGCATTCCAGGTATATCACAGGTCACTCAAACCTTAAAAGCATGCGAGGGGCAGAGTAAAATACATAAAAAGGAGCATATTTTGCTTTGCAACAGTTTTTCCAAGCTATTTCAGAATGCTATTCAACAAAAGTAACTACACAATAGCTAACAAAAATTTAAAAAATTAATTCTGAAGGTCGACTTTTCAGGTATACAAGCAGTTTCAATAATTGTCATTAAATGGCTTTTTTGATTATTATTACTATTATTATTATTGGCATATATTTTGTTAAAATGGTGTTTGTTTTCCTGGCCAATGAAGTAATCACAATTCACCTGTACATAATGTGATTCCATTCACGGTGGCTCAGTGGCTAGTACTGCTGCCTCACAGCGCCAGGGACCTGGGTGGAATCGAACCCTTAGGCAGCTGTCTGTGTGGAGTTTGCACATTCTCTTGTGTCTGCGTGGGTTTCCTCTGGGTGCTCTGGTCTCCTCCCACAGTACAAAGATGTGCAGGCTAGGTGGATTGGCCATGTTAAATTGCCCGTAGCGTCCAGGGACGTTTCGGTTAGGTGGGTTAGACATGGGGAAATGCAGCGGTAGGGGAATGAGTCGGGGTGGAAGTTGGAGGGGTGGTGTGGATTAGTTGGGCAGAATGGCCTGTTTCCACACTGTAGGGATTCTATCAAGTTTTGGTCTTAAAACAAAGATCAAATGCTTACATTCATTACTTTTGTCCAAACGTGCACTGTTTTTCAGACATGTTTTACATCAAACTGCACTACCCTGCCCCACCAACAGGTGGCAGAATTGCATCCTCATTCGTGCGACTTATTTAATGAGTGTCAGTGTTCCACGATATGAAAGTCAGGGCAAGAGTTAAACTGATACTTATTTTAGGAAACAGCTTCGTTTGAACGCAAAGCTACTGATATATTTACATAAATCAAAGAAAAACCAAAAGATGATTACCAGTTGCAACCAATTCACACGATAAAACTCTTCAGCCTTTTGAAATAAAAACATATGGCACAATTTTTTTTGTTCACCTCTGCAGAGGACACTGCTGCTCTTTAGATTCATAAATTATGACCTCAATATCAGGTCCATGGTTGCTATAAAGATCTGACTTCTGATAAAAGGCTATTGACAAATATAATACTACCCACAGTGCAGTTGAGAGTGCTAAAGTGCTCACATGTCCAGAAACACTGAAAGGGCCTATATAAAAATGTGTGCATAATATGTTACATAAACTTGTATACAGGCAGGGGCATTGCACATACCTATAAAATACAAGTATTTTCCACCTCCATAATCATGTTTGTTAAATGCAACACAGTAGGAAAGAATTGAGTGGAACACTGTTCCGGTTTACATTAATAACAGAATTAGATTTACCCACTTTCTGTTCAAACTCACTGAAAAGAATGGACAAAGTTAGAGCAGAAGCCTTTTTGTTATAAAATGCTGAAGATAAATTTAGAAAGCAATAGTAAATTGACGTAGCTCTATGGGACACAAAAAGTAATGTTCCCTCTATACTATATCAGAGGGGCCACAGATCAATGATTCTAAGAACTTCCAACAATCAAGAGGATCAGATGTGATGCAGGTTTCACCATTACGTGATATCAACACTTAATGCAGTGACATTATAATATTCCAAGTGAGCAGATCACAATGTGATGATGATTAACACAAGGCCATGAGAGCAGGTATAGCCATACGGTCTCTCAAGTATGATCTGCCATTCATTACAATCATGGCTGATCGTTATTTTCATTTCACTTTTCATATTTATCCCTAGATTCCCTTAAGTCTTGAATCCCACCAAACTCCATCTTAAACATTCTTAACTGAATATCCACACCTCTGGATGGGATTGCGAAGAAAGACATAAATAAAACAGAAAATGTTGCAGATATGATCAATCTAAAACATTTTACTTTTCCAAAAGTTGACAACCTGACCGACGATCTTTTAAAAAAGACAGATTGGGAAGACTTACCGATCAAAAGACTTCCACGGCTTTATCAGACTCATTGCCTCATCCTTCTGCCCAACAGGTGCAGTGTATTGTGAAGACTGTCTCTTGGTCACTCCTGACAATGACTTTAAGTATGAAGAAAAGAATGATCGTAGAGGCTTCTGCCTGTTGTAGAAAGAAAAGAACTGATGCGAATTATTAAAATTATGTCAGTTGATAATAGATATTGTACTAAGTGATATACATTTTCCACATTTCCGAGCCTGGGCAGTTTCTCAGCTGCTCCTTACTGATCATTCAAGTGCCAAGTTTTAATAATACACTATATTTTATTATTCTAAGCTACGTGCATCCTGTATTTACCTAAATACAGGTGGACTGAAATGCAGATATTATAAAATTATACTCATCAGTAATTCGAAGGCACTACTTCATCGTTGTATGCTTCATACCGCAGTTATTTTTCAAACATAAACTCAGTTATCAAACTTAAAAAAGGAAATCATTGAGTTATTGTAACTTGATCATGCACACTGCAAACAATCCTTCTGAGGGAAGCTGATGTGGTGCTCAAAATAAAATCCAAAATCAGGCTAAGATAATCATTATAGCTTTAAGAAATTGACAACCAAAATACCTAATGGAAGTAGCAACTGAATTAAATTTTATTATTTAATTACAAGACTCAAGTATAATATCAAATTGGAAAATTAGTTTTTAAACAACTTCCACAAGAACAATGAACAATATATTTTTTAAAAAACCTTCATTCACACGATGTCACTGGCTAGGCCAGTATTTGATCGCCCATCCCAATTGCCTAGGGGGACAGTTACGAGTCAACCATATTGTTGTGGACCTGATGTCCATGTAGGCCAGGCCAGGTATGGATGAAAATTTCCTTCCCAAAAGGATATTAGTGAACCAGTTGGATTTTAGTGACAATCTGCAAAGGTTTCACGGTCATTCAAATTTTTATTGAATTAAAATTCTACAATGTATCGTGGTGGGCAATCAAGCAAAACAAAAAAAAAAAAAAAATAAATTGCAACTGGTTTGAAGAAGAGATTTGCTTCCACTCAAGGGACTAAGTAGCTCACAGGACACTGGGGTTCAAGTCCCACCTGCTCCAGGGCATGTGTATTAACATCTCTGAACTTAAATATCAGATATCTTTCTAAAAAAGATAAAAACCTTGCAGCAGAATCAAAATATATTAAATGGCTCACAGGGATAAAGATGTTACAGTATGCATCAGAATTTATGATCACAAGAATTCTTAAAATAACCATATTTAGTTTTTAGATGGAGAAAGTTACATTGAGTGTAATATTGGAAGCATTGTGCTCCTATTGTCTGTAACATATAAAGAAAATGGACTACCGATATATTTTGCTTCTTTAAAAACTAATGAGTTAACAGTAAGCTGGTGCCAGATAAAAGCAATTCACATTCATTAGATGAGTTGTGGTAATGTGCTTTTACTAACATGAAACGGGCAACAAAATGTTAGCATGTTCCATTAAACTCTGATTTGGCAGCTTTAATCCATAAAGCAACAGTCAGCAATTATTCTGAAATGCATGCCAAGCCACCTTCTGTTGCCTTACAAGAGTTACAGTAGTTGGGGTCAAGAGCTGTTACGCTTGCAGGAAGACCAATGCCTGCTTCTCCAGTAGGCTAAAAAAGGTTAAAAGCAGTGGCAACTGACTTCATTGCAATAATGATAGTGTTTTTGTTCATTTCACAGATCAGACAAAAATTCTCATATCATTATTTAAGACAATTCATTCCATGAATAGTTATGCAATACAAGAGGACTTGAATTCGTTGCTACATCAAGACCTTCAAAGTTTTTTCAACAATTAAAAAGTGTTATCATCCTGTCACCAGCATACAGACAAGTTCAGAGAGAATACAAAGTGCCCCTAACAGCAACTGAAATAGAATTATTAAAACTAAGAACTATAAAGTACGTCAAACATTACATTGCATAGTACTTTAGGCAGAAATCAGACCAATCTCAACCTCAGGATGGAAGCATGCAATTTTACTTGGGACAAGCAATTAATACCAAACACTGGAAATACTTGACATAAAGGCAATATGCATTTATATGTTGTATTTTTAGAAAAAATAAGGAAGCTTCAAAATGGAACATGCGTTCTAGGAGGTGGATCAAGATACAAAATTTAATATTCTCAAACTCAAATCAAATATTCCAGAACTGTAAAACAATAACATACCTAAACCTCCTCGTAATTAAACCGAATTTCACTAAATTTCAGAATTAAAACTACTCAGATTGTTATCCACTGCAGTTACTTTATAAGTATGAAAGCTAGTTTACATCTTTCATCTGGCTGGGTAGAATTCCATCTAAACATATCTTAGCAAAGCACCAAATACAAAAATACTAAAATCATAACTGCATTATTAAAATGCTGACGGCACCTCTGAATTAGCGCTCTGGTATCTATACAGTTATGAAGTGTTTCAGTCATTTGAAACATATACACAAGTGCTTCTTTCCCTTGCTAGTGCTCTTTTTGAAAAAAGGAGTAGGAAAGAGTGATTTTCCCCCCACACCTACCTCCGAGTAATTTTACACAATAACTCGGTCATCATTTTTGACAAGGAAACTATAACAAGGAAAAGCAGACAGTCAGACATCAATGTAAGAAGTAGGCAGAAAGTGCCTAAAGTTACTACCCAGGTTTAAAAGTACTTTATTGGCTGCATTCCAAGCAGCAAATTTAGACAAACAATATTGGACATGAATGTTTCTGCAGTTTGTGATCTGCTGTCGAAGGAAAGTGAGATTTTATAAATTGGCTAAGCCCAGGTGGCCTTTATTACCCTTGAGAGAGCACTACTTCATCAAAGTAGCAGACTCGGGCTTAGATTTAGGTTTAGAAAATAGCTTAGGGTATTTCTGCACATGAAACAAGATTAAAATACATGAAAATTTGCAGAATTCTTAGAATGGGAGAGTTCCATATTTCAGCGTATTTAAATAAGTTCCTTTGTTGCAATTTAAATATGTTGTAGCTCAACCTTAGTTCCTTGAAAGAAAGATATATATTCTAAATTATCTTCTCTTAGGTTTACCTATCCTGCACTTTATACATAAGAATGTGTTACATGTAACCTGCCATGTTTTTCAATACTGTCGCTCACTAGTGGTTATTGGGATTTTGGGGGTGGGGGTTAGTAGCAGAGTGTGCACGTGAACAAGACTAACTTTCCTCCCTGCTGAAATGCTTCGCCTATTGTGGCCAGGGTGGAGATTTGTGCCAGTGTAGAGAAGAGTGGACTGTGTGACTAGCAGAAAACAGGGATAGGGGCTAAAGGTGGCTTTTTTTAGCATGGCAGTCAATGATCAGGAGTTCTGCAGGGGTCAGTGTCAGCACCACAATTATTCATGTTACGCATTAACAATCCTTATGAAGGAACTGAGCTCATGGTCGCGAAGTCTGCAGATGACAAATATAGATGGAGAGCCACGCAGTTTGAGAAAGCAAGGAGGCTAAAGGAGGACAGGCTAAGAGAGTGAGCAAAGAAGTGGAGAAGTGCGAGGTTATGCACTTTGGTGGGTAGGCGTAAACTATTTTCTAAATGGCAAAAGACTTCAGATATCTGAAGCACAAGGGGACCTGGGAGTCCTAGTTCAGGATTCTCTTAAGATTAACATGCAACTTCAGTTGGCAAATCTTCAGTCAGCAATTAAGAATGCAAATACAATGTTAGCATTCATTTCAAGAGGGCTAGAATACAAGCGCCAACATGTGTTACCGAGGCTGTGTAAGCCCCTGGTCAGACCACATTTGGAATACTGTGAGCAGTTTTGGGCCCTATATGTAAGGCAAGGACGTGCTGACATCAGAAGGGGTCCAGAGTTGGTTTACAAGAATGATCCTGGGGATGAAGGGCTTATCATGAGATGATCAGTTGAGGACTCTGGGTCTGTACGCGATGGGAGTTTAGAAGGTTGAGGAGCTCTCTCATGGAATCTTATAGAATACTGAAAGGCCTGGATAGAGTGGACGTGGAGATGATGTGCCCACTAGCAGGTGACGCAAGGACCCAAGGGCACAGCAACGTGAAGGGATGACTCTTTAGAACTAAGACGAGGAAACATTTCTTTCAGCCAGAGGGTGGTGAATCTGTGGAACTCATTGCCACAGAAGGCTTTGGAGGCCAAGTCATGGAGTGTATTTATGACACAGATAGATTCCTGATTAGTAAGGGGATAAATAGTTATGTGGAGAAGGCAGGAGAATGGCGTTGAGAAACAGACCTTGTGTTCTTATGGATGTTAACCCATTCAACATTACTTGGATTTGCAGTTTAGTTAGAATAAGGGTCACTCAATTAGTCATGTTGCTAAGTATGGAACTAAGGCGAGTCATTAACAAAGATTCAATTACCAAATTTGGAAGTGAATTATTGCCAAGATAGAACATAGAACAGTACAGACCCTTCGGCCCACAATGTTGTGCCGAAATTTAACCCTAAACCTAAGGTCTTTCTAATCTCCACCCCTACCTTATACTATTATCCATATGCCTATCTAATAGCAGCTTAAATGCCCCTAATGAGGCCAACTCCACTACCCTCTCCGGCAATGCATTCCACACCCCGACCACTCTCCGAGTAAAGAACCTACCTCTGACTTCTCCCCTTTATCTACCTCCACTCACTTTAAAACTATGCCCCCTCGTAATAGCTACCTCCACCCTCAGAAAAAGTCTCTGGCTGTCCACTCTATCTATACCCCTGATCATTTTGTACATCTATCAAGTCACCTCTCATCCTTCGTCGTTCTAAAGAGAAAAGCCCTAGCTCTCTCAACCTTTCCTCGTAAGACCTTCCCTCCATTCCAGGCAACATCCTGGTAAATCTCCTCGGCACCTTTTCCAACACTTCCACATCTTTCCTGTAATGAGGCGACCAGAACTGGAAACAATACTCCAGATGTGTAAGATAAACAATAACGAGCAAGCTATTACTGTACAGGTGGTGATGGTGCAATCTTCTACACAATTCTCCCAATAATCATATTTAACTGTGCATTTCATTCTGGAATTACTTCTGGCCCATTAACTCAGGTGCACATTACAGGAAAAAATGCAAGATTCCATTGCATTTGTTAAGGGTGTAATAGGTTTACAATACAATTTCAAGCCAGTGAGCCAGATTTGATTTGGAAGCCCAAAGATAAAAATACACCCTCCCTAATCATACACATTACTTCCATTAGTACGGATCAAAATCAACAAGTCAGATTCCGGAATGAAAGCTACCTTGATAGAACAAATTTTATTTTTGCAGCTTTGTTACTGTGCTGGTTGGTTACTGAACATAAGACTGCCAATAAACTTCCAATAAATTAATACATTGATGCACAAACAATACGAAAACAAAGCTACATAGATATAAAACAATGTGGAAAAATCTGACCAGAAGCAGCAAAACAATTTGCCCTTTCTCCCCAGCAAAATCATTCACAAACGGACATTCAACCTCAGTGAAGTATCACTCCCATTCTTCATTCAATTACTAACTCAACTGACAAGTTGCAACTTGATGCATCAAAAGCATATGTCTCTGTTTAAAGGTCACCTTCACAGGACCAAAATCAAAAATCCATTTCTCTCTACTTAAAAAAAAAAAAAAATTTCCAATTAATCATACTGTAAATTTGTCACAACGTACACCATTTGGAATCAACTGCATAAAATTAGAGACACTTCTTGACAAATGGCCTCTTTGACAGATATAATTTCCTTTCTAACTGAGCTTTACACAACAACTTCCATTTCAGAAATTGACAAGAGTACAGATATCATAATCAACATGTTAAAATGTGCAGGATTATTTTTCTTCACTTACAAAATCCAATCTAAATGATGCAAGACAGTGCTGCACCAACTTGTGACACAGTGAAAGTGTCACTACCTCTGGGCCTAGAGAACCAGGTTCAATTCAAGTCCTACCTGCTCCAGGTGGTGTGTAATAGTATCTGAACAGGTTAATTAGAAAATCTCAATGTTTTTTCCCCCCCTAGAGGATTTCAAAACAAGATATCATGTTAATGGCAATTGTGAAAAAAAAATTTCTTCCCTATATTTAGAAGGCCCCAAACCATTCACAAAGGTATTCCTTTATGGCACATTTTACAGTTCAATTTGCAACAAATTTGATTGCAATTTGAGTGCAAAGGATTGAATTTTTGAATCCTTCTACAATGCACATTCTGCTATTTGCCAATTTTGAGCATTGGATTTCTCTTTTAACTTCTTTTTGCTCCGAATACAAGGAGGGGAAATGCTCAATTCAGTACTGTTTTCGCCTAGATGGAACCTTCAAGCCATTTGTTGAAATGTACACAGTAAATGAACTGGGATCAATATTTATCAGAATTTTGAAGTTATTCCAAGCATAGAAGCAACAAACAGGTTTTATGCTTATCTGTCCATGCAAATCTGAATTAAGTTATTTCATGTTATTTCTGACGTACATCCTAAATTTGTTAGTGAATTTAAAAGCTTCTTGTAAATGCAGCGTAAGAAGATCTGCTTTGTAAGAAAACTACAGAACGTCCATTAAAGAATTGTCCTTAGGAACAATGACAGTCTAAGCTCCATCAGACGTCCATTACTCCGTACTGAAATGCAGGCTGGCAAGTACTGTTACACCCAAAAGCATTAACCTTTCATTCTTTTCAAGAGATCGGGATGAAGCAAAAATACAATTAAGTTGAAGATCAAAATCCTACCAAACAGTAAAACTTTTATTACCTGGATTTGACATTGTTCACAAAAAAAATCTTAGGAATGTTGGTGCTTAGCTTTACATTCAAAAGCTAAAACAATTCAATATTGAATTCTTGATCCACGAGGTTCAGTAACAGTTGGAAGGCCTGCCAATTCCTAGTAGAGTATACCCAAATCATGAAAAGTAGTGTTGAGCATCCAACTAACAGAATCAGAATGGTTACAGTACAGGAGACTGTTCAGCCAGCTTTGCCTATGACAATTCTCTGCAAAAACAACTCTGCCAGCGTTACTCACCTGCCTTTCCTTCTGTACATTCAGGTGCTTATCGAATATACCTTTTTAAAACCATAATTGAATCTGTCTTGCAACACTTTCAGTGGCTTGATACAACTGGGTAGCTGTCTAGGTCATTTCAAAAGGATAGTTAGGAGTCACATTGCTGAGATTATGGAATCACATGAAGGCTAGTTCTGGAGCTTAAGTCTTCAGCACTGCTGTCAGGGTCCTTAGTCTTTTCCAGTGGATTCACCTGTTTAGCAATATCAAGTGGAGTGAACCAAATAGCTGAAGACTTTCTATTGAGATGCTGCAAAACTCAGGAGGTGGCTACTCAGCCCTTCTGGCTCAAGTTGGCTGTAAACACTTCAGCCATTTCCTTCATACTCACGTGCTGGGCTCTGTATTATTCAGGATGTTTGTGGAGTGCATCCTCCTGTGACATGTTTAATTCTCCAACACTGCTAGACACTTTTTAACCTGGTCTGTTGTTTGTTAAATTGCTTTACTCAATCTGTAGCATACATATGGTCACCAGATTGATGGCTTTTTTTTTTTTTTTTACAATTTTGTTCGAACAAGTAACTTCATACAGTTATCACAGAATCCCAACATTGTGGAAACAGGCCATTGAATATATTGTTGACCATTTAAGGGTCAAATTGCCATGCGTCTGGAGTGACATATAGGCACAACTAAGGACAATACATATCCAGTATCAGTAAACCAGATGTATTTTTACGACAGATAGTTTCATGGTCACCATTACTGATATTAATACCAGATTTTTAATTAGTTCAAGGTGAAAAGTTCTCAGTGCATTGTTCGGTGAAAAAACTACAATACACTTACATGTAAATTAATCCATGGGAGCCATTAGGGTAAAACAAGTAGCAAGACGGCACTGAACGGATACCAAGTTTTTCCATTAACTTTTTGTCTGTATCCAACACTCGTTTTACAATAATATTTTCATACCGCATCAAATCAAGTATCACCTGTAAGAAAACAGACTTAACATATTACACCATAAGCAATTAAAATACATAGATATTATAAGCTATTACATTAAACATCTTCTTGTTTCAAAGTAAATACTGCTCTGATCGTTTTTGGTAAACGGAGTCTGGCTTTAACAGCTCATGCAAAACATTGAGCATTACCAAATGGCCACCGAGATATGTAGTCCTGGAGGTGGGTTCACACTCAACCTTGTGATTAGTCCGAGTTTTCCCAGCACAGCACTGAGTATTGACTGTTATTTCCAATTTAAACCAACTCCAGGGCATTGTTTTGTTTCAATTTTAGCCAAATTAAAACAAAAAATTCAATCCAAAGCATAAAATCTTCAGTTTTTTTGGTGCTATATCTTTGGGTGGTAAGGAAGTTAGGATGATCAGAAGGTGGAATAGAGCAAAGGGTGGATACAATAGGCCAACAAAACTCAAACTCACCTCCCGACCAATGTAGGAAAATTCTTTTTCAAATATAACAGCTGTATAGTGCTTCTGGTGTTTTCCCAATAAAGTCAGAACAGAACTAGAGCTGAAACAAAGAGGAAAAATATTTTGAAGGCCAGTCACTTTTCAGCAAAAAGACATTTCACTCATAAAACGTATAATGTATCTGCCACGACCATTTCAGTTATAAATTTCAAAATGTACACTGGAGATGGCTTCAGAAATATTTGTTTTATAAAGCTTAATCCATGTTCTGTACTATGGCAAAGTAAAAGTCAATACATTTTAGAAAGTTTAGCTTTTAATGCCATGTCAGCATAACGTGGTGAGAGTTCACAACCATAATCAATACAGCCAAATGTTTTAATTTTTTCCCCTATCTTCTTCTCAATGCAGATTCTTGCTGGCTTTCAACTCGAATAAACCAATAACCACCATGTACTTCATTCAAGTGGCCATTGCTCACAATAATGCATATTGTCAGGTAAATTGATTGTTGAGCAGACAGTCAACCTAAAAATCTCTTCTTCACCTTGTTAATATACTGCGTTACAAGGTCTTGCTGTCTATAAATTTGGATTGGGAACACTGAAAAATTCATTCCCTCTGCAGTCCATGGGATCCAAAGTCAATTATAGCAGTTTGATTTTTCACCCATTTCAGCAAGAACAGGAATTGAACTCAGGATATTCCTGCCTTTATGTCCAGGTACTAAAACAAAGAGTGCTCCAGGATGCATGATGATCAGCCACTTCTCTGCAATTTTGTAGAGATTGGGAGGAAAACAGATCTACTCAGGTGACATTATAGACATAATAAACAGCAACTTATAAACGTAAAAGGAAGGAGGAGATAGTCACCAGGGACATGCTGTTCCATTTTCCAGAAACTGGTGAGTACCAGAGTTGGGCTGGGAGTAGCTTTGAGTGTGGGAGAAAGTAGGTAAAATGTCCCAGACTCAAATAGGGAAGAAAAAAAAAATGTAAAAATTGCATAAGCACTCAAAAATTAGTAACTTGCTTCAAAATTAACTAATGGCTTAACTGCTCAATGCCACAATAGTACAGCAGACTGGAATATTTCTCAAAACTTGTGACTACAACAGTTAAAAAGGCAGCCTGTTTGAACTGTGCAAGAACAGTTCCATTTGAAATATTCGAAATGGAGATATAGGGAAAAACTAAACATTCATTCAACAACAGTACCTTGCTGTGCTCAGCATAGGACAAGCAGGGGGCTTGTTTGCACTAGTGTGATTTTGTAGAAAGTCGATCATGATTTGTCGCATTGTTTCTAACTCTCTGTTTGGTCCTGAAAAACAAATTATCCTTTGATAGTATTTTGAAATGTAAAAAATAGACAAGGTTCATGAAATCTTGATCTTTGGCCTTCGAAAGATCAAATAACAAAAACACCACACTTCAGCATCTTTAGTCAGCCACAACAATTAAAGAGGTTTCAAATCCTAGATCAGTACTGAAAAAGGTGGAAGATTTGGAGGTTCAAGTCAAACTTACTCAGTTTAAAAAAAAATGTTGAAATATGATAATGAACCTGCATCAATAATGATCAGCGAACTCAGAGCAATACGAAAATAGGGAGAGACTTCTCGATGACCAAGGTGTCAGTTAATATCACAAGTTTGATTTCCAGTAAATAAATAAACGCATTTTTTCCACCCCACATACTTTGTGGCTCTATATTTTTAGTTCCACTTAGGCTTCAAGGCCTTTAGTATCGTCATTTAAAGTTCAAGTAATTTTTTGCAAGTAATTTACTCCTCAAAAAAGGAATTAAATATTGTCACTGTATCAAGTACAACATAACTGACTTAGAAACTTTGTTAATAAGGTTTTAGTCAAAAAATACCTTTTACTCCTTTCATCTTTAAAATGTAAAAGGATAGTAAAGAGTTTTGATAAAATACATACCTATAGTCATATGTGAACCTGTAATGATCTGACTAGATAATATAGTCATGTGTACATACTTAAATATGATTGTACAATAGTCATATACATTAACTTGGAATGCTAGACAGAATGAACACTTAAATAATGATAAGACCTTACCTGTAATAACACTATAAAACCACTGACTTGGATTTGTTACAAATATTGAGAGACATCTTTGATTGGTACATCTCTCATGCATGCATAAATGCTTAGACAGAGAAACCCAAATCTCATTTGGTCTTCAAAGAGTCAAAGGGTTAAAAGCTTGTCTGATTGTTTAAAATTTTATGCTATGTTTCCTTTAACAACTAATAGGACAGCTTTCAACCCTTGTGGATAAAACATTAGCGAATCTACTGTATTACTTATGTATGTTATGGCAATGTCATTGGACTAATAATCCAGAACCCCAGACTAATGATTGAGCACATGCATTCAAATTCCAATTTCAGAGATTGTGAAAGTGGGAAAATTTAAAAAAAACTTGAATAAAAAGCTAATGATGACAACATTAAAACATTCTGCTTCACTCACGTCCTTTCTGGAATATGTAACCAGTCTACCCTATATGTGAGCCCAGACTCTCAGCAACATGGTTGACTCTTAGCTGCTCTCTGGGCAATTAGTGATGACCAGTTTGTCAAGTTGACATTCCACAAACAAATAAAAATAACAAAAAGTGGCTGACTCAGCTGGTACCTTAAGTCCCATTAAGGACTCGAGCACTGAATCTTTGCTTTTCATTTTTATCTGGTATTGTGAACTACTTCTGTGTATTGTTTTTTCATTTAAGAGTTCAAAGAGTTTACTTAAGCTGTCATAAGTAAAAACAGAAAGAGCAAGAAAAATGCATTTGCTCTTGCAGCTTTTGAGCAGAGAAATATAGACCTCAACATTTTCATTTGAAATTGAAGCAATATAACAACATTTTGACAGGATAGTAGAGCACGTTCACAATTGATTTTGGGGTCAAAGAAAACAAGCTATATGCTTGATTTTTCAGCAAGTAGAGAGTGAGGCACAAAGGATAAAGAATATTTGATTTTATTTCCTTCAAGAGGTAGAATTAAAAAAACCAGCAAATCAAATAAGAGGTGAAGGGACAGGAGAAAGGAGGTGAAAGCATCCACAGTTGAATAACTTTTTACAGGTTGTGGAAGGACACATTGGATGTTGTACCTGACCTTTTCCTACTAAAACAGAAAGCAAAATACTATGGAAGCTGGAAATCAAAATTAAAACAAACTACTTGAAATACTCAGATCAACTAGCATTGGTGGTGAACCATAGAATCCCTACAGTGTGGAAGCAGGCCATTCGGCCCATTCGGTCCACAGTGCCCTTCTGAAGAGCATCCCACCCAGACCCACCCCCCCCTACTCTATTCCTGGACTTCCCATGGCTAATTCATCAACTCTGCACATCCCTGGCCACAATGGGCAATTTAGCATGGCAATCCACCTAACCTGCACAGGTTCAGACTGTGGAAGGAAACTGGAGCACCCAAAGGAAACCCACGTAGAACAAGGGAAGAATGCGCAATCTCCATGCAGCTAGTCTCTCAAGGCTGGAATCTAACCAGGTCCCAGGCACTGTGAAGCCACAGTGCTAACCACTGAGCCACTGTGCTGCGAATGTTTCATCAAAAGTGGAAAACAGATGTTAGAAGCTCCAAGTACAAAGATGCGGAAAGCAGAAAAAGAACAAAGGAAATCCTGTAGTAGAGCAGATAGCAGGAGAGATTAAGTGGCAAAGGGGATGATGGCAGAACAAATTTGACAAATAATAGGTTTGAAGGTGTAAATAGGAATCAGTTTCATCAATAGCTCCTGTCTGAAACTCTCCCATGCCAGAGCAACTTTCCTTCTGAGTTTCATGGTTTGTATGGACCTTGGGAGCCAGTCAGGGTGCTGATACATTGACTTCCAGTTTCAGAAGTTGATGCTGTGCCTGGACTTCAGCAGTCTGAACTAACTCAATGCTTTTTTTAAATGGGAGTCTCTCATTTACCCATCTTAAAAAACTTATCACTCATTTCTAGAAGAATAATTATCAATTGGTACTAAAGAGCTTCAACACTGCTAAAAGGAGAAAAGACAAAGCTTTTCATCTTACACTCCTCAGGACGAGGACATAAGAAACAACCTGTAATAATCATGTTCAGAAACATCCTTAATTACGCGTCCACCTGCTTCTGTTTAATTACGTTTACAGTGGCGTATTTTGAGCAGATACCCTGTACAGTAGTTATATACATTATACATTAATACACAGAACCCAATTTGAAGTAGACAAAAGAATTCATACTTATATTGCACCTTTTTCATGGAAAAAATGCATCACATGGACTGTCAACCTATTACATTCCCATGTCAACATTGACAGCTCACTATTCTTGCTGTATTGCCATGTCACTGATGGCTCAACCATTCAGGACCTTCTTTTCATCCTTGTTCACGTTAGCAGGAAAAATAAATAAACTTAAACAGAACTACTGAAATATTCTGAGATGCAGAGGGATTTCGGTGTTCTGATGCATAAGTCACAAAAGGTTAGCATCCAGGAGCTGCACACCATTAAGGCGGCTAATGGGTTACTATTGTTTAATTTAAGAGAAATTGAACGTAAAAGGAAGGATGTGATGCTATGGTTATTCAGAGCATTGGTGAGACCACATTTGCAGTTCTGGTTTCTGTATTTACAGGAAGGATGTAAATGCACTGGAAGCACTTCAGAGGAGGGTCACTAGAGTGATAGCTGGAACGGGCAGCTTACATTATGAGGATAAGTTGTGTAAGTTCATTCATTTCCGCAGAAGTTCGGAAGATCGAAGGGTTAGTTGATTGTAGTGTAGAAGATCCTGAATATCTTGATAAGGTGGACCTGGAAAAGGTGCTTCCTCTTGTGGTTCAGTCCAGAACTTGGTGGTACTGTTTTACAATTAGGGGGTGTACTTCAACCACAGACAAGACGACACTAAACATTGGAGCTCTGGAACTCTTTGCCTCAAAGTGGAGGAGGTGGGGTTATTGAATACTTTTAGTACAGAGGTGGATAAATTTTGGTGGATAAAGAATCAAGGGTTATTAGAGACAGATGGGAATGTAGAATTTAAAACAAATAAATCATCCCCAACTATAATTAATTGCAGAGCAGACTCAAGGGAGCAAATCATTTGACTTCTGCTCCAATTGCAGATGGTTGCATGCTGTACAAATTGGTGTCCCTTTTCTCCCACCACCATCCCCCCCAAAGTCTGTTTGTTCCCTTGTCCTGGCATGTGCAAGGGGAAAAACAATTATTTAACTTTTAAGATAGATAAGATACTTTGAGACATAGCACTAGCACATGCTGGTCACCACTTTCATTGACATTTGGCAGTTTCAAAAAAAAAATGCAAATATGTAGAACAAAGTTTCTTCATGAAAAGCTTATAACATTACACAGTTATGCCCATTCTGTCCATTCCAATTTTTTTCAAATTGGACAAAAATTGAGTAGAATTAATTTTTAGTTCAAGCAGTATTAGATTTGTATTACCACTTAGTTTGGTTTAAGGTAAACATGAGTTACCATGCTACATAAATAGATGTTTGTTTCACACATATTTCCATGTTTTGCACTAAGGCTTGCTTGTGTACTCTACCTTTGTAACTTTCTCCTGTTGTGAACTGGGTTGCAAGTGCTTTGAAGTACTGGAAGAGAAAAACAATAAAAATTAACAATGTTAAAACTGCCTTTTAGTGGCAGTTATGGGAGTTGGTAGAAATAAAATGGCTTACCAAAAGCAATTAAATTTTATATTTTAGCTCCAGGAAGCAGAAGCCTATTGTGTAACAGAAAATATGGCGAAAGACAGCAAGAAAGCAAGAAAGAAACAATCATTCCACTTGACCCAAAATTACAAAAGCTGCACTTTTGTCCACTTCCAGACTCAGTAGGTGTTAATTTACATTTTTATCTGGAGCACAGTGTTCTAAAACAAATCTGGTCAACAAGCCAGCCAAGTCATACAATGATCTGAAATACAAGATGCAGCATACCTTATTGTGAGAAAATGAAATTGTAATTAAGCCTTGAGTTAATTTTCAATTATATAGACATACAAAACTGGATAAGTCGACCATCTGGCCTTTGGGATTGCACCACAAAAACAAACCTAGCTGATCAAATTGTGGCCTCAGCTAAAAACTTTCCTGCCACTCCCATATCCCTTTTAAGTAAATTCTTGAAAAGCAGTAGTTGCTGGCACCAATGCCTAAGTAGAACTTGACAGATGGCAGGGTCAGTGGATCAGGGAACAGTACAAAAAATGAAACGCTAAAGAGATATTACAGAAAAAGAAATTATATGACCGTAAGATGTAGGAACAGAATTAGGCCATTCAATGGGAGTTTGCTGTGCCATTCAATGAAGTCACGGCAGATCTGATAATCCTCAACTCCACTTTCCAACTTTTTCTGCATAACTCTTAATGATGAAAATTCTATCTATCTCTTTCAGCCTATCCAATCACAAGGTCAGAAACAGGGATGTTTGCTGACAACTGCGAAATGTTTGGCATCAACTTTGACTCTTCAGAATACAAAGGTCATGCCCATGTACAAAACTAGGACAACATTTAGGTTTGGGTAGATAGTGGCCAGTAATATACCCATTCTCCAACAAAGGAGAATCTAACCAACTCCCCCAGATATGCAATCACATTACCATTGCTAAATCTCCTAATAGCAACAGTTGGGAATTACTACTGACTGAACTTGGCTAGCCGTACAAATACTGTAGATACAAGAACAGATCAGAGGCTAAGAATTCTCTTGTGAGCAACTCATGTCTCTCCAAAGCCTGTTCGCCATCTGCAAAGTACAAATCACAAGACTGATGGAATACTCCCCACTTATTGTAGAGTGCAGATCCAACAATATACAAGCGAGACACCACTCAGGACAAAATAGCCCTGCATGACTGGCACCCCGTCCACCACAACCAATATTCACTCCCTCCTGCCATTCTGTGACTGCAGCGGAGTGTGCGCCATCTACAAAATAGCAACTGACCATTAGAAAGAACAGTGTGGAGCCGGAGGAACACAGCAGGCCAGGCAGCATTCTGAAGAAGGGTCCCGACCCAAAACATCAGCTTTCCTGCTCCTCTGCTGCCTGGCCTGCTGTGCTCCTCCAGCTCCACACTGTGTTCTCTTTGACTCCAGCGTCAGCAGTTCTTACTATCTCATAGCAACTTACCAAGGCTCCTTTCCTAGCATTTTCAAAACATACTAGGAGCCAAGGAATACAGATACTTTGGAACACCATGGCCTGCAAGCTCATCTCTAAGCCATACATACTGACTTGGGACTACATTGAAGATTTGGCAATGTCACTGGAACTTGAAAAGGGCCGAGAATCACAATCAGCCTTTTCTCAGGGTAGTGTTAGCTCCCTCACTGATTTTTCATTTTTTATTCTTTTAATTTTTGTTTGGAGGTGTGAACTGCAGACTGTGGGCTAAGATGACTTTTGGACTGTGGGTAATAGCTGGTGTTTACTGACAATAGACCAAACAATCGTTTGAGACGCCAGCCCTGGAAGTTCATTGCAGGCTGGTTCCTGATCAAAAGGTTCCACAGATGCTTCTTCACCAGAGAAGAGCATTAGGTTTAAACAGATAGCAGAAGTTGGCTATTAACAAGGTCAAGCAGAAGGCAGGTGCTGAATGCTAACTGGGATCTCATGGAGGAGATGGTCTGTTTGCCAGGGAATGGTCAGAGTTGGAATTGGATTTTCAACTGTTTTTGGAGAAAAGGAATGTGGCTGTTGATGCAATAGAATTAAGATTTGAAAGCTCCTGCCTGACCTCCCTTACCAGCTCTTGGCAACTCGGAATCAGGTACCAAGTTATGATTATTCCCGCCTTTATCATAGAGTACTGAAAAGATTACTCCGACAGACATATTTGGAAAATCAGCAAAGAAATCATCTATGCCCGTGAAACAATCCATCATGTAAACCACTTAAGTAATCTGCCACTTTTATTTATTTATTTTTTAATCCCTTAACTATGTTTGTTTGTCTGCCTTTTGTGTGAAATGGGGCTGAAATCAGAAGATTTTTGGATTTATAGCACAGATCCGCTAAATTACTTTGTTATTTAATTTCACTCCACAAAGTTACATATTGTTAATAAATTGCCGAGTCTGTTAAGACACTAACTAGTGTCTTCAATTTATTGTAATCAGATCTGGGATCAGTTATTCAAAACCAAGGTTAGGAACCGTTGGGGGGTCAATTTTGAGCTTCTTTGAAGATTTTAATTCTACTGTGTTTCAAATACAGAGGTGTTGGTTTGGCTGCCTGTCTCAGTTTCGCAACAATAGGCAAGTAGGTACAACTTCGAGGGTGACTGCTATTTCTTGTGCACCGTATGTCATATGCTCTGCTTTCTAGCTTACAGTTAATTTCATCAAACCTTTGGGCAGACTAACAAAGTACCACAGACCCAACAGCAATCCAATACAACATTGTTGGAGACCATCACATTTATAGAAAGTTAGCAAAAGTTACTGGTTTTGTAAGGCATGATAATACAATATTGAAATATGCAAGAGCATAGGTGGGGAAAAGAGGCATCAAATTTCAACAGAACACATGGCGTATTGATGGAATTGAGAACACCATTAGAAAAGATTAATGAGTGATTTAGAAAAGATGATTGAACACAAAGCTTCTTCTCTTCAAAGGTCAGTTATCAGCTATGTCCTTACCCTAAAGGTTGGATAGAAGTGAATGCCATATTCTGCACAAACGGCAAAATTCTTCTCATCGGCACAGTCCATCACACCTATACGGATTGCCAATTCCCACTCTGAAATAGCAAAGTTCAAAGTATTACTTCTATATGAACCTAGCAATCTTCTCTTCTTTTTGTATCTAATGAGCTTTTAGTTAGTCCTAACTAATTTAGAGCCCGACCCTTCTTTAGCTGGTCAGGTGCTCTGCTCTCAAGCCAAAGCTCAGAATGTATGCAGGAACTATTAATAAAAAAATTCAAATCCAAGCATATCGAAATTCACAACATGACCAGAGATGTAGCAGCTCATGTAGATGACTCATCTGACTTGCTTGCATCCTATTCAGCCTCATGCATGTTTGATTCTAACCTTATAATTGCCAATGCAGCTCATGAATGTGTTTTTGCACAACTGAACAGTTCAAAATCTGCACTTACAAAATAGTTCTGTAAAGCCTCAAGGGAAGAATTCAGCACAGAGTAATCCTTTGAAATATGCCCAGGTAAATGTCAAAAGCCCAGGCAACAGTTGAAATGGCAGGTTCAATGTCTATTGAAGGAGATAAACTGCCTTAAGGAGCGTGAAAATGTATTGTTTTTCCTTTGTTGTGTATACCAAAGCAATTGTTCTTGTTACTGGGGACTACACAAATTCATTTCAGGCACCCAGAGTGCGATTGGGTAGTTCTTGCCATTTTCAGATATGGCTTATCTTCCATTTAAACCCACAGATGGGCTCTGTTTTTACAAGTATAATATACATTAACATGTGCTCCCTCTTCTGAGACATGCACTTTGGATACAAAGCTGTATGTGGTTAAAACATTGATGTAAAAACTTCACACCACTGGATACAGAACCTGGTGAAAGTAAAATAATTCCAACAGGTGAAAGATTACAAATACAAAATGTCAAAACGTCTATTGCAGATGAATGTTCAACAAAGAGATAGCAACATTTCTCCTTCCACAATATCTTTGGCACCACAGAAAAATAAATCAAAATGTCAAGCAACATAGAAGATTATACAAGTATTCTACACATTTGTAATTTTGGAATCATTATTTAAAATTGAAAAACTGTAGAATGATCATTTCCAACATTCCTGTGATCAAGCTGTCTTTCGACATACAGCAAGTGGATACATATTTGTTACAGATGGGGCTACACTGGCTCTTACGGTTAGATTTGAATTAAATGACTGGCTAGAATTCCTTTGCTGGAAGTTTAGCTCAAAAATCATAAGTTGATGGTCTTACTGGGTAGTTATTAGAATCAAGATAGCTGAATGAATCATCTAGGTTATTACTCAAAGCTGAATTATTTGTTTCAATCTATATCTGACAAAGTAAAGAGCTTGCAGTGGATAATGAGTGAGCGAACATTTCATTAGGAGGATATGGCCGATTTTTATTGGTTGGGTCATTGAGTTATATCAGAAAATAGTACTAGAAAATAATTAAGCCCAGTTACCATCAGGAATGCTACAGTTCATAATGTGCAGCATCATTAAGAGCGTCAAAGGCAGGCAACAGTAGTAACAACTTTCATTGTGCAGATCGAGGGCGTTTGCACAACAGGAACTGCAGGATATACTTAAAATATTGGAAGAGCTGGAATTACTTAACATGCTTAATTGAAAACACAAATGACATTTTTACCCAAAACGTGGACAGAAACTGATGGATCAGAAACATAGTTGCTATATCAAATTGATTTCTGTAAAGATGTGATGGGTCATAAAACAAAGGTTTCATATTGACCGGAAGAACATACAACTGCTCTGGAAAAGGATATCGTTCTCAGATTTGGGTATACTGGATCTTTGAGCTGGATCAAGGTGGATTCACATTATTACTTGTGCAATAAATATCATGATTCCCAGTATTACAAAAGCCATGGAATGATTGTGCCCAAAACTCCTGTGATCTGAGCTGCCTTTCAACATACACTAAGTGGAATCATATTTGTTGCAGATAGCACTACACTGGCTTTTGTGGTTGGATTTGAAGTAAATAGCTGGTCAGAACCCCTTATTAACTGTGATGCTTCATTGTGGAGCAGGAACATCAATCTCATTTCTACACAAGAACATAACAGCAATTGTGATCAAAGTGTTTGATTTCAGTTCCTGAGGCAATTCAACACAAATTTAGGATCAGGGTTAGAGCTTTTCCAAATCAGGAATATTTTGCTCATGGGTACAACATACCATGCTGTTGGGTCACCAAAAAGGAGAAGGGCAGATTCAGTTCCTCAAAAAACACACGGCTCGTGGACAAGGCAAAAAAGACAAAAAGTTCAAGGTACGGAGTGCAATGACAGCTTTGGGGGAATAAAATCAGATCCAATGGACTATCAGCATTAGAACAGCTGATTGGAGTGGAGTGGTAAGGTAAGCACTATGTTGCACAGCTACTGAAACTACCCTATTTATGAAGAGAACTCACTAGCAACTATTTTTAATGGAGAAGTTATGCAGAAAAGTGTCAATTAAGCCTACATTAGAACACTTCAAAATGACTGCTTCTTTGGCTGCAAATTCCTTTGGGACACCCTGAGATCATGAAAGGTGTGTGAAGAAACCATGTTCCAAATATATGGTATTGTCAGAGGAACATATAGTTCAAAGTTACTTTTCAGTAAAACCTGCTGCAGGATGTATATCTTTAAAACAAGGACAAAACCAGGTCACAAGCACAACATTGTTAACTCTACAGATATGAACTTGCTAACACAAATTTGATGCACACACAAACTGTATCCAACAGATTCTTGCTTAAACACGTGCATGGTCATGTAGAATGTTATCTCTGATAAGTAAAACAGCCAAAGAAATACTTGGTCTAATGGCTCATTTTGCTGGATGCTGTAACTTGAATAAAGTGAGCAAATGTACCTACTGCCCAGCTCAAGTTTATAACAACAAATACAAGATAACACTGTAGACATTCTTCAACAAATATAGGTCAATGTTCATGGTAGTCCAGTTACTTATCAAATTAAAACTTTCTATGAAACTATTAACCACAGAAGTTCGTGACATCTCAACATTACCTGCATAATTTTGTGATTTGTTAGACTCACTTCAGATTTGTTTTGAGCATAGTGTGTCTCTCACTCTGGGGATTAAGGCAACTTTATGATTATACTTGATGAGATCCCTACTTTCTTTTAAAAATCATATCAGTAGCAATGTCTGAATTTGATTATCTCAACAGAAACAACAAGCTAACTTTTCTTTTTGAAATTTTAGTTTTGTGATGCTTTTCATTTTAAAAACAAATTGCACATTGTCTGTCTTTTCTCCTTGTATTAAAAGCTCTCACATGAACTTGACTCAAAACTTTGACAGGGCAACAACTATTAAAAGAAGTTTCATCTGGATGTTTATAACATCTGGCAACATCATAATGCAGCCAAGAACTTGTTGAGAATCATACCATCAGAAAGTAAAACACATGTACCTTTGAGTGAAAGCAAAAATCAGACTCAAGAAATTCAGTCATGTGTCCATGCGTCTGGTTGAAGTTGAGGGGAATAAATCAGAAGATGCAGCTGATCTTGTTATCTTTGGATAGAGAGTTCGGTTTGCACTACTTCAGATGCCAAATCTAGTAGGCTTTAAAGCTGATCAGCAATTTAAGTTGGTGACTTGGTCTAGATCCTTGAACAAGAGCAACAAAAATGTGACACCGTCGTCACCTAGGAATTATTAGATTCTTGAAGGATCCCAGATTGGAAAGCTGCCAATATAGCACTTTATTCAAAAATGCCAACTTTAGGCCAGTTAACTTAACATTTGTTTACTGGGATAAAACATTAGTATTTTTTAAAAAGGATGTAATAGCAGAGCATTTAGAAGTATGTAATATGATCAAGCAGAGTCGGAATGGCTTCCTGAAGGGAAATCATACTTGAGACTTGCTATAATTCTCTGACGAAGTAACAAGCAGGATAAATTAAGCAGTGGATGTAATACATTTGAATTTTCAAAAGGTATTTGACAAGGTACACGCATTAGGTTACTGAAGATAAGAGCCTACAGTATATTAGCATGGATATGGGATTGGCTAATTCATAAAAGACAGTTGAGGTAAGGGAGGGGACATTTTCAGGATGGCAACTCTAACTACTGGTGTGCGACAGGGATTAATACTGGGCCACAATTTTTAACAATATATATTGATGACTTGGATGAGAAAAGTGAATGCACTCTAGTTGAGTTTGTCGATGAAGAAAATAGGTGGGAAGCAAGTAGTGAGGATGACAAAGGACAGACAGATTAAGCAAGTGGGCAAAAACTTGGCAGATGGAACATAACATGGGGAAACGTTACATCATACACCTTGGCAGAAATCAGAGTGGAGTTAATTATTTAAATTGAGAAAGACTACAGAAAGCTACAGAAGAGGGTTTTAGAAGTCCCCGTTCATGACAAAAAGCTATCCAAGTTCAGCAGTTAACAAGGAACGCCAAACGGAGTGTTGCTGTTTATTTCAAAGGGAATGGAGTATCAAAGTAGGGAGGTTTTGCTAAAACTGCACAAGGCACTAGGAAGACCACAGCTGAAATACCGAGAACAGTTTTAGCCTTGTTATCCAAGATATACAGGCATGGGTGGCAGCTCAGAGAAGGCTCATGAGGCTGATGTCAATTATGGAACTGTCGGAGAGGTTGAGTAAATTGGGCCTGTACCCATTGGAATATATTAGAACAAGAGGCGACTTTATTGATACATAGAAGATTTTTGGGGAATTAAGAGTAGATGCAAAAGGTTGTTTTACACTGTGAAAGAATCTAGGACCAGAGGGCATAATCTCAGAATAAAGGGTCGCACATTTAAGACAGAGATGAGGAGGAATTTCTTCTCTCAGAAGGTAGTGAATCAGTGGAATTCTTTACCACAGAGAGCTGTTGAGGCTTTGCCATAAAGTGTATTCAACGCTGAGATTGACTATTAATCAAAGGAATCAGGGTTTGTGGGGAAAAAGGCAAGAAATTAAAACTGAGGATTATCAGAACAGCCAAGATCTCATTGAATGAAAAAAATGACTCATTGCGCTCAAAT